AGTACCGGCGGTCGGTGGTGTGCAAGCAGGCCACTGGGCGTCGTCACCCAGGGACTGCAAAGCCAAGGGTGCAGACCATTCAGCACCCCTGGCAGATATCGTCAAAAGAGAGCAGAATGATGAAAAAATGCGAGACAATTCAAAAGCTAGAAAAACACCAGAGGAAGATTATTGAGGGTCTGAGCCAAAATCTCCGATGTTAGAAAGGTATATGTTGAAGAACAATCAGGTGACCGTGAAGGATGCTTTGGCTAAAGCCCGGGAAAAAATCGATGCCCTGAGGAAATAGATGGCGCGATGCATCAGACGAGAAGAGAGAATTCTCAGATATACTGAACTCCTTTTCAAAAAGAGAAAACAAGGCTAAGGGAGGGAAAATACACTGGATGCACAGGAAAAAAGGAGCGGTACACCTGAGGCGACTAACAGAAGAGACAAGAAAAACAAACAGAAGGAAGCGGTAGAAAAGATCAGAGATAACCCAGAGAGAAGAGGTTCAGGACGAGGAGCAATGGGAAGTCCAGAAAAAAGAGCAAAAAGAAAGACAGGGAAAGGAGGAAAGAGGCCAGATCTGTATTTAAAAGAAATGAGGCTCTAAAGATTATTGTGTAACGTCGTGCCAATGGGCCAGATGGACCACACATGTCGGAAGGCCAGCGAGGGGGCGGGGGCAGTCCTTTGGCGGTAAGCGGAAGGCCACCAGAGGCGGGCCCCTCCTCAAGGGCCGGGGTGAGCGTGTCTCGGAACGTGGGTGTCAACTGACGCAGAGGGAGATGGTGGTGATTCGTTATCGAACGGAATCGCGGTGCGGAAGGCACATTTCACCCACCAGGGGTTATCGGCAGCTTTGGCAGCGAGGTGTGGCGGTTGCCACGGGACGAGAGACCAGAAGCGGCGCCAAGCCGCTGGGGTCTGCTTCAGACTGGGGCGGGGATGCCTCAGAGATGTGCAGTGCTGGGAGTGCAGCCCTAGTTTCCGAGGAGTGTATATAGTGCATAAAAACTTGTAAATAAATGTGTATAAAAGTACTCCTTGTCTGTGCTACTCGCGCCCGACGACGCTACCATTGCAAGACAAGGGGCTTCATATGCTGTCATCTTCAAGAAACACTCAGCACCTTCGAAGAGATGAAAGGGAACGATGAGGTTCTAAGAGTAAGAAGAACAAGGAGGAAAGAACACCTGATTGAGTTGAACAAACAAGAGCGCTGATTCCTTTAGCGAAAAAAATGGCTAAAACAGTGAGTGAACTCACTGAATTACAATCTCTGAGGTCAAAAGTAACGGTAGAGGTAAGGAATATCGACAAAGTGACAACAAAAGAGGAAGTCATAGCGGAGGTGGAAAAAGTGTTGGAGAGGAATGAGCCAAAACTTCATATTGAATGCGCATTGCTGAAAGCTTATGCCGGAATGCAAATAGCATTAATAAGGGTCTCAGAGAAGATGGCCAAGGGATTCTCAAAATAGGAAGAATAAGAATAGGGCTAGTGAACTGTGGAATTAGAGAAAAAATCCAATTTCATCGTAGCTTCCGATGTCTGGGCTATGCCCATGTGGCCAGGAGATGAAAGGGACGCGATAGAGCAAACTGCTGTTGGAAATGGAAAGTAGGTTATACTAGAAAATAATGCAAGGATAAAGAATGTTGCGTAGCTTGCAAGGACAAAGGAGTTGAACACGGACACTGCGTCTGGAGGCAGTAAATGCCCCTTATACAGAGAAGCCCTTGTGCGAATGAAACAAAGGACTTATGGATCTAGAGTTCCTGCAGATAAATGTGGGTAGAAGCCCGGGAGCTGAAAATTTACTGATACATACAGCGAATCAGAATAGCATTGACGTACATCTTGTTAGCGAACCTAACCGTCGACTGGACCTAGCTGGATGGTGCCAGGATAGTACAGGGAGAGCGGCTTTCGTCATACGTAACCTGTGAATCAACACCAACAACAACGTGAGTAAACACAATTCAACTAACCACGGCTTTGTGTGGGTGGAGACAGAACCCCTGCGAAAATATACTTATTTCTCCCCAAACGATAGACTGCAACAATTCATGTACTGGAAGAAAGCACAGGCGAATCCAAACGAGATATACTGGTGACCGGAGACTTCAATGGGAAATCTTCCGAATGGGGCGAAGAAAGGATGGACAGAAGAGGGATCCTAATAAGCAAAATGATAGCCTGAAACGACACGGTGGTAGTAAATAGAGGAGCTACACCAATAGGGGAGACGCCAAGTCAATAATTAACCTGTCTATCGCAAACCAGTGGTTAGCAGGTCATATTGAAGAATGGGAAGTCCTAGGGGAACGGTCACTAAGCGACCATAAGTATATATCTTTTAGAAGTGCAGGAAGTCAGTACTCCGAACAGTCGTCTTATAAAAGGCTAGAAAACTGTCCTAAGCAGACATTCAATGCTCGGAAACTCAACAAAGAGAGTATTAAAAGGTCCCTGACAATCTAGGTACATTCAAGAACAACGGTCGTGAGTTCAACCCCAAACAATAGACAGAATGGCAAACAAGGCTCGGACGGTTATCCAGAGGGCCTGCAATCTTTCATTGCTAGGGGACACAGGAAATAGCCCTCCTAAGGAGTGATTGTGTAGTAGCCAGAAGATGTACGAGGGTGAAGGGAGATAAACATCTGAAAAGGGATTACAAGCGGAAGAAGAAGGAACTCAACCACGCAATAAGAAGCAAGGACATGTGTTGATATTAGATGTTGAAAACGATCCATGAGGCATGCCTTACAAAATTGTTAAGTTATATGGGAGGCCGAATATCTCTGCTCTAAATGATAAAACGTGGTTGGAAGAAATAATTAGACACATATTTCCCAAACGCCCAAAAAGGAAAAAGAAATAGTTAAGACAAAGCGGTAGAAGCAGACATGTTGACGACCCGTGAACTGCAAGAAGTTGGTAAATGCCTGAAAGCACCTGGGTTGGACGGCACCTCGGTTGGACGGGATTACGGATTCCGAACGAGATACTGAAAGTAATTATCACAGATAATCCGGACCTTTTATTGGAACTCCAATAAGTGTATGTGATATTCAGACTTTTCCAAAGCTGAAGCTTGTAGCCAGAAGCTTGTACTGTTAAGGAAGGAACACTAGCCGGTGGATAGTTCATCATCGTATAGGCACATCTGCCTTCTGGATACCATGGGCAAAATGCTAGAAGCTTGATACTTCAGCGCATGAAAAAGCACATGATAGAGCAGAGCAGATTGCCTCATAACCAGTACGGCCATAAAGGCAGATCGACGATCAACGCTATCAGAGAAGCAGTCGAACTGGCAAAAACAGCAAGAGAAAGGCTTTTGCGCCCTTATAGCAACAAACATTCGCAACACATTCAACTCCTTGGGTTGGGAAGATGTAAAACAGGCATTGGAAAGACAAAACGTCCCAGTCTACCTGAAAAATCTTATAGGTGACATGAGCGAGAGAAGCATGAAGGAGATAATTGGAGAATTAAAGAAGAAATGACGTGTGGAGCCCACCAAGTATCTCGGCTAGGCTCAATACTGTGGAACATGGTTTACGATGATTTTTAAAGATGTCGCTCCCAAGGGAAGTAAATATTATTGAATTTGTGGATGACACCTTAATAGTAATCTCAGCAGTCAGCGAAGACATCCTTGAGATGCGAGCGAATGAAAGCTTGCATAGAGCAAAAAGATGGTTGGATGAACGGAAATTACACATGGCGACAGAGAAAACAGAAAGTAGAAAAGTATATGAGAACCCTGCTGTCGATACAGAGAGAGGTATCACTGAGGATCATCTCTGCCTACCATAGTCTCTGAAAGTGCTGCCCTTGTGTTAGCAAGCTTACCCCCTATCGACCTTCTGATAAAGGAAAAAACATCCGTCCATAGAAACCTGGAAGCAGAAAGAAAGGGTGAAAAGGAAGAGAGAAGCTCTTTCAGATGTGGCAAGACTTTTGGAGAATAGAAACGACACGAAGATGGACTTACAGTCTAATTCACGATATTAAGAAATGGGTAGGACGAAAGCTTGGTGACACCTATTACTACCTGACACACGCATTCACAAGCCATGGAAAGCTTCAGAAGCTACTTATGCCACTTCAAAATGAAAGAGGGCAACATGTGTACCATCTGCAGAACAGACGATGACACAGAACATGTGTTCTGTGTTCACAAGAACATCAACAGAGCTACCATCTAATGAAAATTGAGCATGTGATAGCTGACTACTCTACAATTCCACACGGAATGCTAAAGTGTTCAAAAGAATTTTCAATTCAATAGCTTCTGTTACACGTCTATGTCTACCACCTGGGAAATAAAAGAATTTGTTATGAATGATCCTTCATTAATTCTAAAGTATACATATTAAACAATAATAATGACAATTACTGCCGATATTTTGAAGTAGACAGAGAAATAACCAAATCCAGTATTGGGAAGGAGATCTCACCAAACAACATAGTAGAAGAAATGCTAGAGACAGAATAAAACTGGATAAAAATTTATAACTACGTGAAAAGAGTTATGAAGAAGAAAGAAGCCCCAAGAGGACCAGATTAGAAGGATCCTAGAGATCACCGAGCCAGTCAGGCAATATGAAATGACACAGCTGTGAATCCTTGCTTAGACAGTCTGGCTGGAACGGAGGGTATTTTAGTAGGCAGACCAACTCAGGGAGTCCCACACACAGGGTTTCCAAACCTTACATTACATAAAGCATTTCCCATGCCTCAAAAAAAACAATAACAACAATAATAATAATATTAGTAATATATAATATTACATGAAAAAAATACATGATTTAGACATTCTCTCTGAAGAGCGATACATTGTGGGTATGAAAGGTAATGCCATAAGGGTACAGAGTGAGAATAGATTATTAAGAATACGTAGTTATCTTACAACTCTAAATTATAAAATGGAATTGAGTATTATAAATATCATTTAACAACTTCATTATACATGCATTACTGTTTATAAAATTATTTACCTCATGATGTTTGGTTAAAGGATTAGGATCATATAGTGAAAAATTCCTCAGTTTTATAAGAACTTCTGTGTATGATTTCTTCACAATAACATCAACAGAGCTACCATCTAAGGCAAATTGAGCATGTGATTGCTGACTATTTAACAATTCCACACGGAATGCAAAAATTTTCAAAAGAATTTTCAAGTCAATAGCTTCTGTTACACGCCGGTGTCTACCACCTGGGAAATAAACAGGATTTGTTATGAACAATCCTTCATTAATTCTAAAGTATACACATTAAACAATAATAACAATGACAATAACATTATTAATAAATAGTTTTTGACAAAAAAAGTTCATATTTGTAGATGTAGGCGTATATTCTACCTTATTTGGAGTATTCCTGTCAAATTCTACCTTATTTGGAGTATTACATATTTATTCATGAAATTGACATCGTAAACGAAATTAATTATCAAATTAATATTAGATTTTTCTAAATATGAAGGTATAATTTCATTTAACATCAACATTTTTATGTGAATAGTTAAATATTAGTTTAAATTATAACATTTTTTTTAGCTGAAGTGTATCAAATACTTGCTAATAAATAGTATTGACTAAAATAACTTGAAATTTGACAATAATATTAATAATAAGTTTACAATTCATTTGAATTACATTCTTTTAAGTTAACATCACCCACGCAATTTTTTCTTCCACACAGACATAATTGAATTGAATTAATGCTTTAGTTTACGTGGTGAGACTCAGACTATGAGGCGTGCTCTTCCGTCTGACCACGCAAATTTCGCTACGTTCCTTTCACTAACTAGCAGAGAAAGGAGGTATTTCTTGGGCGAGAAATAGGCTATTTGAATTTAGCTCAGAGGCGTCATTTAGGCTTGAGGATCTTTTACATGCAAGAAAATCTACTAACATGGGACAGCCGGCTTCACTTCCCTTCCTAAGGAAGGCGTACGAAGGATTTTTTTCGCCCTTAAAAATCCACGGCTTCAATCGGGATTGGACCCGCCAACTTGGGTACAACAGTCCGATACGTTAACCGTTACACCACCGCCGCCGCAAAACATACATAGATTTGTGCACACCAACTCGCGCTCACGCACGCACGTCCTCGCATGCTCCCGATAGTCGGCCCGCCCGTGAACACAGCCGCGCGCATCTGACACACGGGCGCGGGTTCTGACACACATACTGACACACGGGCGCGGGTTCTTAGCTCATGCACGCAGAAGCATTATTCACATTGTATGGCTACATCATGTTTATCACAAAATTGTTATTGTTCTAAATTATACAGTTAGTGCATACCAAACCACTAGTATGAGTCAAAATTGTTATTGTTTTAAATATTACAGTTACTGCATATCTAATCACTAGTATAATGAATCAATCACACAAGTAGATCGTTGGTTGCAAATAGGTTGATGATATATTTTTGTAATAATTAAATTTCTTTTGAAAAGTGAAGATATCACATTTTCTAGTTAATTAAGAATTTTTAATCAGATTTCATTTACATTGCAATTTATGAATCATAGTAAATGAAATTATTACCAATAAGTGTGCACAATCATCATCAATCTTATTAGAAGACTGGAAACAAATGTATTTGTTTAAAATTTGAATTAATTTAAGAACCCAAAAAATTGTGCTTAAAAAATGAATGGAAAAATACTAGCCTCTTCCAATCCACTTCAAAATAAAACTATTTCAACTCAAAATATGAATTTATTATGTTACTATTATCAATATTATTATTTTTTGTTATTATTATTATTATTATTATTATTATTATTATTATTATTATTATTATTACTATTACTATTATTCACAGTATCTACTAGTCGGTATGTCAACCACACAAGAATGATGACCAGGTGTGTGGTTGCTTCACTGAAGGTTCAGATGGCTTCTGACAATACGGCATGTATTCCAAATAAATGACTTTTGATAATTATACACATTCCTGGCATCCAAGGGAAAACTCTCCAATGCCCGAAGTGTCATTTATGGGATCACTCCTGTAGCTGATATTATTATAGGCACAGTTGTCACTTCACTGAAGTTCCACTGAGTTGAAGTATAACACATTAAAACAATAATAACAATCGCACAATTCAACATTATTTAATTTAAATAGTTTTTGACAAAAAAGTTCATGATTTTGTTAGATGTAGCGTATTTCTACCCTTATTTTGGAGTATTCCCCCGGTCAAATTCTACTTAATTTGGAGTATTACATATTTATTCATGAGAATTGAACACTCGTAAACGAAATTAATTAAATCCAAATTAATATTAGATTTTTTCTAAATTATGAAGGATAATTTCATTTACATCAACATTTTTATGTGAATAGTTAAATATTAGTTTAAATTATAACATTTTTTTAGCGTGATAGTGGTTACAAAAATACTTGGCTAATAAATAGTATTTGACTAAAATAACTTGAGATTTGACTAATAATTTTAATAAGTTTAAAATTCATTTGAATTACATTCTTTTAAGTTAACATCCACCACCCAATAATTTTCTTCCACACGCAACATATTGATGATTATATAATGCTTTTAGTTTACGTGGTGGACTCAGACTATGAGAGCGTGCTCTTCGTCTGACCACGGCGCAAATTTTCGTACTAACGTTCCTTTCACTAACTAGCAGAGAAAGGAGGTTATTTCTGGCGATGATAGGCTATTTGAATTTAGCTCAGAGGCGTCTCTTAGGCTTGAGGATCCTTTTACATGCAAGAAAATCTACTAACATGGGACAGCCGGCTTCACTTCCCTTCCTAAGGAAGGCGTCGAGGATTTTTTTCGCCCTTAAAAATCCACGCTTCAATCGGGATTGGACCCGCCAATTTGGGTAAACAGTCCGATACGTTAACCGTTACACAGCACAACGCCGCGCAAAACATACATAGATTTTGTGCCACCAACTCGCGCTCACAACACAGCGCGAGCGCGAGTCACGACGCTCTCGCATGCTGCCCTGATGAGTCGGCCGCGCCGGTGAACAAGCCCGCGCGATCTGTACACGGCGTTATGCACAGCATACTGCACAACGGGCGCGGATTTCTTAGCTTACATGCACGCAGAAGCATTATTCACATTGTACTGCTACATGCATGTTATTCACAAAATTGTTATTGTTCTAAATATATACAGTTAGTGCATACCAAACCACTAGTAATGAGTGCAAAATTGTTATTTTTTTAATTATTACAGGTTACTGGCATATCTAATCACTAGTATAATGAATCAATCACACCAAGTAGATCGTTGGTTGCAAAATAGGTTGATGATATAATTTTTGTAATAATTAAATTTCTTTTGAAAGTGAAGTATCATCACATTTTCTAGTTAATTAAGATTTTTAATCAGATTTCATTTTACATTGCACACTTTATGATCATAGTAAATAGAAATTATTACCCGCCAATAGTGTGCACAATCATCATCATCTTATTAGAAGACTGGAACAAATGTATTTGTTTAAAATTTGAAATTAATTTAAGAACCCAAAAAATTGTGCTTAAAAAATGAATGGAAAAATACTAAGCCTGCTTCGCAATTCACTTCAAAATAAAACTATTTCAAACTCAAAATATGAATTTATTATGTTAATTATCAATATTATTATTTTTGTTATTATTATTAATTTATATTATTATTATTTATTATTTATTATTATTAACTATTAATTATATATTCAGCAGTATCTACTAGTCGGTAAATGGTCGACATGCTTGTCCCATTGTCATCCTAGTTCTGCACAGCTTGATATTCCATTGCCCCTCAGCATTACTAGGTTCATGAGAGCTAAGGCATTTTTTCTCACTTCTTACACTATAGAATTGCTCCAAAACTGGTGCAGAGAGGAGATTTTTCTGAACAATTGCTCGACGCTGGTCCGCTATTCTTTGCTCACTAACTTCAGAACAGGAAACGTGAAGAAATCTTTGATGTAACTTTTGTCGGTAGGCCGTAGTGTCAGTCTCCATTTTGGTAATGGTTGTAGTATTCACGCATGATGAAGGTATTTATTTTCTATAGTCCACTTCATCCTTCTGCGTTGCCTGCCTGCGGCAAGTGGTCTCTGGAAGCAATTGATTGCTTCGCTGGGAGCACTTGCGGCAGTGCAGCTGTAAGTGGAGATGGATGGGTGCTGCTATGTTTAGGGGCTGTAGTATATTGGGGTTATCCCCGGTCAGGGAACGCCTGTTCAGCTCCTGAATCACCACCGGCTCGCATGCTGTCATCTCCATCGTGCGCTCGAAGGTATTATTATTATTATTATTATTGATTATTATTATTATTATTATTATTATTATTATTATTATCA